TGATTAAATGTTATGATGATGTTTTTTCCTATTCATGATACGCTGTCAAACTAACTCAAGTAAGATAATACAATGTTTGGTAATCGATGCAATGTTGTTATGATTTCAAAAATTGTAAAATAATTTCCATGACACTTTAATGTCATACAAATTGAAAAATTAGGATATACAATTAAATGAATTAGTACTTAATACACGGTATTCAATGACATTCCGATTAACTAATTGACACCAAACTAGTTTCAATTAATTTCTCCTTGGTAGAGGTGGCAATTAAGATCCAAATCCATGAATCCAATCCAATCCATCCACCAAATTATCCACCTAATCCAATCCATTTAAATCCAATCCATTTGATCCAAATCCAATTGGATTGGTGGATTCATGGATCAATCCATGGATCCAAATGGCAAATTACGATTTGGTACCTATATTTTTTATATTTTACATTTTGATACCTAAATTTTATATTTTTATACGAAAAATATCATTGGAAAACTACATTTTGGTACCTAAAATTTTTCATTATGACATTTTAGTACCAAAACTTTTCAAATTTTACATTTTGGTCCAAGCCTTGGATGTCATTTGGATTCATGGATCAATCCACCAATCCATTTGATCCAATCCATGAATCCACCAATCCATTAGATTCATGGATCCACCAATCCAATCCACGAATCCACGAATCCGATCCAATTGCCACCTCTACTCCTTGGGCTTGACCTCTGATTGACCGTCGCCCTTTTTTATTTTTTGTCTGGTTACGGTTGCAACTTTCGGTTTGTATCTATTTGTTCCCCTTGGGAATATCTAAGACAAACAAAATAATTTAAAAAATTAGGATATACAATTAAATGAATTAAGACTTAATACACTGTATTCAAATTCAATGACATTATTCGGATTAACAAATTGACACCAAACTAGTTTCAAATCACTAGTACCGTAATGGATATTCGAACTGGCGTAAAGGTTTTGATGACTCTCACAATCTCCCAATTTTCTTTGTCCCGCTCATATATATTACACTTGAAAGAAAACAAAACATCGAACCACCCTCTCTTTGTCACCATCAATTATTGATAGACACATAATAAAAGGAAACATCTGGTCAAGTAAATACATCCATTTTAGACTAGAAACCACACTGTGCGCTTCTTGAACGCACAACCGCCGCCTCAATTATTCCTCCAAATTTTTTTTAACTCGTATACATCATAGCAATGGCATGAAATCCCATTTTTTTAATTCTTTTTATAAGATTGATTTATTGATTTGAATTTGAGATTTTCATATTCAACAATAATATTATTATTAGACCAAATTAATGTGCGCATCTTGTTTTTATCTGCGATTAAGAACTTTCATTAATTATATCTCATTAACAAACGAATAAACGAATTGAGAAAAAGTAAAATACAGCAAACGTATAACATTTTTCAGTGTTTACAAACTACGGCGTAAAAAAACTTGAATATCGAGATCGAGTTAGATCCCATACCAAACGACGGTCCATATATTTAAAAAAAAAACAAGCGCTACATGGGAGACAACTCATGTGCGGCGGAGATGTTCTTGAACATCTCGTAAATAATCCTGTTCTGAAACTCCTCGTTGGTGCACGAACTCCTCACCTGCCTTGCCTTCGGAACCCTCCTGTTCCCAAAAACCAAGTTGGTGTTCAAGTAGCCCACGCTCCCGGCCAGCCTGACCATCATGTCGAGATAGCCGTTCCTCAGCTTCGCCGCCAGCTTCAGCGGCGCCGCCATCACGACTCTCAGCCTCAGCCGCAGCTTCGGCACCGCCTTGATCCTCCACCCCAGCCTGCGTGACGGCGACTGGCCGCCGCCGAGCCTGACGGTGCGGATGTTCTTGTTGCGGATCGAGCCGTCTTGCAGCTTCTGGTATCTCTTGCTTCTCCAGTATCTGTCCCCCGCGCCGCTGTAGAGTTTTGTGCCGAAGATTTCCATTTCTTGGTGAAGAGAGAGAGAGGGAGAGAGATGGAGTAAAAGGGAAAGGTTTTTGGATGCGGTTTGGAGGCCGAGTTGTTGGTGTAATGTGTAATTTATGGGGAAGACATATTGAACGCAAGCACGCAGCAACGGAGAAAGTAATGATAATATAAATTATTATATTAGACCGAATTAGATGTGTTGTTTAGCGTTTACAAGTCCGGGCCTCCGGGGTCAAGGTCAACAAGGGCAAGCGGGTCAACGTTCTCCATTGTTATTATTATTATTAAATAAATACGAATATTTGATACCGTAGGATTAGGGATAGGGGTGGCTATACGGTCCGGTCCGGTTAAATTGGCCCAAATTGATCCGGTCCAGTCCGGTTTTTTTGAAAATATAAGGACCGAAGATTGGATTGGATACAGTCCGGTCTTGATCCGGTCCGGTCTCAATTCGGTCTTGATTTTATATTGAGATTGTGGGAATTTGAGTGGCCTAAGGCCTAAAAGGGTGAGGAGTTGGTTAAGTTTTGTACTAAGTGCAAATATTTGTGACCGTTTATGCAAATTACCCTTAAGTTTTGGGTGTTGAGCTCTCTTATCCGGTCTTTATCCGGGTTTTTTACCTCAAATCTAAGCCCAAAGATTGGATTAGATTGTTTACTATCCGGTCCTGGTCCGGGTTATAAAGTCCGGTTTCCGGTTTTTCATCCGGTCCCAGTCCAAATAGCCAGCCCTAATTAGGGATGGCAATTTCGACCTGACCCGTTTTACCCGACCATTATTATTAAATTAGACTCGTTAACTCGTTGTTAATCAGCAAGTTACCTATAATTTTTTTGTGCATTGTAGGATCGTTAAATTATATAAGATGTTGTATCGAAAAAATTAGCTATAGGGTATTTTATATTAAAATTTTAATTTAAACGTGGTTCAACCATTTCATACCGTTAAATCCTACATTAATTATATATTTGTAAACATGTATTTGTATGTTTTAGAAAAAATTTCCTACAAACTATTAATTCCTATTTAATCTATTTACAAGGGATAATGATACATATTATATTGCATTATAAAAAATAAGACATAATATATTGTATTGTATCCGTACTCAAAATTGGGGAGGGCATCGATCGATTTGGTCCAGAACTGGTTCGAATTGAGCTAGAACCGGACTAAAACAAAGAAAAATGAGGATCAAAATCGGACCAAAAGCATATTTGGTTTATACAATTTGATTCGATCCGATCCAAATTCACCTTTGATCCATTTGATTCATATTTAAAATAATATATAAGACCAAACTGAATAAGAAATATTCGAAACGATCCAATTCGATTCAAATATTAATTCGGTACGATTCGATCCAGTGTGAATCGAATAGTTGCCCACTCTACTCAAAACACAGCCTCTGCCCGCTCTTATGTTATTGATGATCAGCGGGACAGACGCCATTATTTGAGTGTCGGGCAAGTATAATAAATCCCTGTTGGTCAAAGAAGATGCACTTACCCTTCATCCAGAAAGGTTGACGTCAAACAGAATCCATTATTAATTTGTTTAATCACTTTCCTCGCCCAAATAATATTAAGAGGATGAGCTATATAATTGCGAGTTTGCGACTATAGCCCATGGCCCACGCCACCATTTGAAGCCATACTATGAACCACTGTAGGACAGCCCACCGGCGATATATTTTAAGAGTATGCTACATTTGGTCAATGAGATTACTAAATTATATCATGTTTAGTTATTAGAAAAAATTAATATTAATTTTGGTCACTCGAATTACTGAAACATGTCATATTTAGTCACTTTCCCGTTAGTTTCCGTCCAACTCCGTTAAGAGTGACTAAATGTGGCATGTTTCAGTAATTCGAGTGACATTCATAAAAAAAAAGTAATTCGAGTGACCGGAGTTGGACGGAGTCTAACGGGAGAATAACTAAATGTGATCTGCTCTAGTAATACGAGTGACCAAAATTGATATTATTTTTTTCTAGTGACTAAACATAACACGATTTAGCAAACCCAGTGACCAAATGTGGCATTTACCTATATTTTATGACTTGAAAAAGCTTCCTCCATGAAAAAAAGGTACCAACAATCGTAACACGACGCCTCTTATTTATAATCTAGTTGAAGAACATAAATCGATCCAATACCATAACAACAACAACGAAATAACAATCATCCCATGAAAATTGTATATAATCACAAAACAGTACGATACGGTTCACTATAAGAAGGCGGTTCACGATAGAGTTTGAGCTGTGCTCAATGCAGAGTCATAGTTTTATGAATTTTCAAGCTTTAAACTGGATCGAACCTGATCCCATTTTCCCCTCCATTTCACAATTGAAATCAGAACCAGACCACATTGAACTTTGTTTTTTTTTAGGGTTATAGGTATAATATGCCCTTCTACTATGTCGTTTTATCAAACATGCCCCTCTATTATTTTTTACATCAAACATGCCCCTATACTTTGGAAAAATTATCAAACATGCCATTCTGTTAAAATTTTAATCCATAAACCGTTAACCACGCCCAAACTTTGGTTTGGGCCGCATAAATGTCTAAAATATCCCCAATAATTTCACTTTAGATTTTTTTTTTGTTCTTTTGTATAGCCAAATAATCCTAATAATTTCACTTCGACGCGACCCAGAGAAATAAAACAGGGGACAAAACTGACATTTTCCCTCCCATTTGCCAATATCGGGTCATCTAAATCTCGGTTCAACCATGATTGACTATTTTTTCAATGAAATTTTTAACAGAAGGGCATGTTTGATAATTTTTCCAAAGTACAGGAGCATGTTTGATGTAAAAAATAGTATGGGGGCATGTTTGATAAAATGACATAATACAGGGGCATATTATACCTATAACCCTTTTTTTTATTACTACTCGACCGAATTCTACAATGCAATTTTCGATTTGATCGAGAAACTGTGACCGAAATTCCACTTTTCTATCATAGTCTAAATTATTTTTCCTTTTAAGGGGAAGGTTTATCACATGAAACTTTTGTCACCTACTTCGCAGTACTTTTTGACTGATGCGAATAAGCAACTTCCATTAATCGTCATCATCAAACGAATAAGCCAATAAACTCGGAAAGAGTGATGATCAATCTCGATATACAATCTAGCTAGCAACAATGTCAAGAACCAGTTGCTCCCAATAACTCGAGTTATTGAGAAAAAGTTACGCTGGATCTTATGCAGACCCATATATAATGTTTAACCACTTCTTTACAAACAACCTACATGGGATTCAATTCATGGGCTGCTGAAATGTTCTTGAGCATCTCGCACACAATCCTTCTCTGGAACTGTTCGTCGCTACAAGACATCCGGACCTGCCTAGCCTTGGGAATCCTCTTGTTCCCAATCACCATCTGGGTATTCAAATACCCCACGCTGCCGGCCAGCCTCACCATCATGTCCATGTAGCCGTTCTTCAACTTCGCCGCCAGCTTCACCGGCGCCGCCGCCACGACTCTCAGCCGCAGCTTCGGCACCACCTTGATCTTCCACACCAACTTATAACCTCCACCTTTGTTGTTGTCGCCGAGCCTGGCGATGCGGACGTTCTTGTTTCGGGTCGCGCCGCCGTCTTGTAGCTTTTGATATCGTTTGCTTCTCCAGTATCTGTCCCTCGTGCTGTGGAATTTGGTGCCGAAGATTTGCATTTTCTTGGAATTAAGGTTTTAGAGCGGGCAGAAGAAGAGCTCGAGAGATTCTGAAAGAAAGGGTGCAAAATGTGGAGTGCGGGATTGTGATTTGTGAGTGTAGTAAGGTGTACTTTATGTATGTTATCTAATTAAAGGTTGTGAAAGCAAGCAGGAAGCGCGCAGCATAGTGTGGAGGAATTGATGGAGAAGAGGTGTGGGCTTCAAGTAATATAATATAATAATATGTGTATTGAAGAGTCAAACATATGCAGCCGGCCGGCCAGCCGCGGTTCAGACTTCAGAAACTACCAAGGTTGTCAACTCGCGGGTTGACCCGGACCCGGTCGAGTTAGAGGGTCAAGGGTTAATGGGTCAACCGTTTTAGCTCGGTTTGGCCCGGAAATATAGAAAGAGTTATTATATTGTACTTATCCTCATAAATTATATCAAATCTTATCTAACATATGAGTTATAACATATAATATTACACCAAAATAACATATCGTACTTAGATCCAACATATAGTGAAAATTCACACACACTTATATAACATAAATATTCAAATGTTCAACTTAGTATTCCAAAGATTGAGTTAGGCGAAAAGAAAAATTGGAAAATATGCGCATTTCGCAAACTAAAGAAAAAAATGACACAATTTGACCTCCAACCCGGTACCTTATAGCGGTCGGCCCGGCGGGTGTGTGCGGCCCGTTTTTCTCACCGGGTCAGGGTCAAATTGGGTAGACCCGCGGGTTGACAACCTTGGAAACTACAGAGACTGTATGCCGGCATATATAGAGCGTGGAGCGTCCCTGTTTAGGATATACCGAATACCGTATTGAATTTTATCGATATTTTTGTTATTATTGAAATGCACGTATTAGTTTAGGAGGCTGTGATTGAATATTCTCATGTGTTATTTGATATTACAGATTACGAGATTGAGATCCGTATCTACCGCGAACCGATCAATACAAAATAAATATAAGCAAGTAAGTGTGTATTATATATCCCTTCTAATTATAGGCTGGCTCACTCGCTGCTACCAGAACCTCAATCGCCAGGATGGCCACTTGATTATACGAGTTGCTTGATCATCACTACTGTTTGACAACCCGATATCAAGCTCATTTTGTTATTTGTAGTATATTGTTTATGAGTTGCTTAGTGGTCTCCTGTTTTAGTTTGTTAATGTGTTTCTTAGGCATCACGTTTTTTTTTTTCAAAGTTTGTTGTTATTATACTTGAGATTTTTTTTTTCTCATTTGTTTTGCACAAGTGTGTCGGCACCATTATTTGTTTATAAGAATGGTCATGTGGAGCGCTTAGTAGAGGAGGAGTATTTGCGTTTGTATATTTGATTTATAATTTTGAGGATAATTAATTTGGTACTTGTGTATATACGGACATCGAACAAAATATAGAAAATGAGATACCAAATTTATTTTGGGATTGAAAAGATGTTGAGTATGCTATTTGATATTCGAGAATTTAATATTAAGTACTAAATAGTAAATACGGGAACGGATCAGGTCAGTAACCTTGTGGTGAGTAACTATGAGTAACCCGCTTACATCAGCATGACATCAACATCCTCTCTCTCCTGGAAAGCCTTTAATTTTCCCCTCCTTAATCTTTGACGGATGATTTCTCACTCGTTTTAAGTCGAAATTTTTTTTTGCACAGTTAGATTAGATTAATTGTGCTCTTCAAAATGATATCCACTTTGATATATTTTTTGAACAAAAAAAATTGAGCAATTTTTTACCACTCTATACCATATGGTATTGACTGGTATTGAAATAAGAGCATACCTATGGTTTGAAAAGCGTACCATGGTGGTATGACACAAACCAAAACTGTAGGATGGTTGAATACATGATAGTAGAGGTATATTAATTGTTATTTCCGACTTTTAACATTGTATACCATAAGATACCATAAGATACCACCACGTACCAGGGTGGTATTGTATGGTATTGTGTGGTATTTTTTGGTCTTGTAATTTGTTCACCCAGAAATTTGTAGATCCACTAGATCATGATGAACTCGTCCCTGCTCTGCAAACATTTTCAAAAACGAATTAAAAACGAAGAAGATACCATATGGTATGCAGTTGGTACCGAGAGGGCATAATTTTTTTTTCCTCAAAAAATATTGAAAATTGATCTCATTTTGTAGAGCACGATGAACTCGTTCCATCTGTGCAAAAAATTAATATCCGAGTTAAAACGAAAAAGATATGAGTCAATTAAGAAAGCTAGTGAAAATAAAAATGACCTTTAATTCTCCATCCTTAGATCTGGATTTTCTAAATGAAGGGTCCAAATTTGGTTAGTGAAAATAAAAATTAAGCCTAGTAAATACCATTACCATTCCTAATTGCATGCGACCTTTTTCCCTTTTAAAAATGCTTTCGGTTCAATTTGGTCATCCCGCTGAAGTTTTGGAGGCGGCCAGGCTTTATTATGTCAAACCGGAGAATTGAAGCGCAATTTCATCGCCATGCACATGTTTAACACAAAATCTCTAATATATTATATTGTTTGTTCAGCTGTTCACACGAGACACGACATTGCACGCTGCATGTTCCACGAGCATTTTAGTTTACTTAATGGGCGATCCAATTCCAAAGATATATAAAATTCCGATTGGGGCCAAATTAAGAAGATGCTGCCAGCTGCCACCTTACCCCTTTCATCTAGAAGCTCCATTTCTTTCATTCATTATGTACAAGTACTTCCTATAAAAAAAAAATAATTATGTACAAGTACAAGTTACAACCCACCTACGCCGCATCATTTCACGGCAACTATTAGTAGGGATGGAAAAAGTATCCGCAACCGTAAATATCCGCCTAAATCCGATTTAACTGAGTAGGGTAGACTCGAATTCGAAGGATTTTTAGTGGGTTCGGGTTTTCGAAGGATTTTTAGTGGGTATGGGTAAAACCCGAACCCGAATATTGTGGGTAATGGGTGGACATGATTTTTTCACTATCCGATCCGAACACGCCCGATTATATACATTCGTGTCTATTTTGTCTAGAAATGATCATTATTTTTCTCAACATATTCTATATTTAACATACAAGTATAATATTTTAATTAGTTTTCTTCATTCCATTGATTTATTGTCGTATTTTTTCTCTGATGCAATGTGAGTATACTTGTGAATGTTAACATGTTGGTTGAAGTTATAACGAGAAATTACTATCCATAGATAACTGTGGATACCCGAAACCCGAACATGTATGAGTATGTGCATGGTTTTGATTTTCTACCCGATTTTTATGTGGATATGAGTAAAACCCGAACTATTTTAGAAAGAATAACGAATAGGTACTATCCATGCCTAACCCGACCCGTTGCCATCTCTAACTATTAGTTTAATCAGTTTTCTCAAGCCCAACTTCAGCCATGGGCTATATAATTGGGAACGTAGCCCATGGGCCCTCTGGAGTTATATAACAATGTGACTATAGTCCATCAACCACTGTAAGTCTGTAATTGGGCAAGTGACAGAAATCCATCCAAATTTGTCGAAGAAAACCTCAAATGTAACAACATTTTTGGTAGCCGCATTCTTTCAGCATCTTTCTGGCTTCTCCTCTCATATCCATCGATGGAAACCGGAGAACCATAGCCACTTGAGTACATTAATGTTATTTCGGACACTTCCAATGCAGTAAGATTACAGGTATTCAAAGTTTGAAAGAAGAAGAAAAAAAAAACAACATATGAATTGCATAGGGATCAATATTATGACAATTTTCAGCTATGACTTTTGCAAATGGAATGGAAAAAAGTTAACGTGATTAACTGCTGAGACAAACAGCTCTAGAACCAGAACGCACGAAGTCCCCCGGACTTCTTGCCTCTTGGGCCCGAAGTTGGGCCGGGCCTCCTTTAATGAGCTTCTTGCCGCTTCAACATACTGGACAAATTCGGAATGGACGATTTCCTCTTTTTCATAGGCACCGAGACGGATCGAGTCGTCCCCCGACTCGGTGTAAACTCAGCCGTCCGAAGCTTCAAACGCCTCGACGGAGTCAGGCTCCCGCTGCTGCTCGCTCTCGCCGCTCTCCTCGGAGTTTCGCTCATCGATTTCTTCCTGCCGGCGGCGTTTCCATTGCTCTGCCGGTGATACTGATTCCGATTCTTTGCCTCTTCCTCCGCCGGAATCGTCCTCTCATCCTCCACCCTCGTCTCCCTCAGCTCCCGGTGCGCCATCTCCACTTTCATCAGTATCTCCTTCTCGCTCGCCTTCAACGCTTCGATCCACGCCTGCGCCGCCGCCACCTTCTTGTCCGCGATGTCCTCCGCCTTCGCCGCTCGCCCGGTCAGGTACTCGTACTCGAACCTCGACAGATTGATCGTCGAGGAGCCTTCCAGAGAGGCCGAAGCTCTGGCTCTCACGGCGTTCTCAATCAGATCCTGCAGATTCTTCAAAGCTACAGCCTCCGACGCCTTGATCGTCTCCAGTTCCTCCATCGCCACCTCCAATTTCCCCTCGGTTAGGTCAATGTCCGCCTCGGTCTTCCGAATCTCCGCCTTGATGCTCGCCGCCTCGTCACCGATAAGCTCCTTCTCCTTCTTCGCCACCTCCGCTTCCGTCTTCAATTGCTCCAGTGTGAGGTTCAGATTCGCCACGATCGATTTCGCCTTCTCCTCGGAGGAAATTGCAGCTTCCAGCTTCGATTTCCCCCGCAGAAGCTTCGAATTCAGGTTCAGCACCGTCGCATCGGCCTTCTCCTCTTGTTTCTGCAGCCTGGCCGCCTCGTCCCTCACGTGGTTGAGCTCGTTCCTGATTATGTCCATGGAGGCCATGAATTGAAACCCTTCCTCCTTCACCGTAGCCAATTCTTTCTTCGCAGCCTCCAATTCATCGGTAATCGACTTCAACAACGGCGAACTGTCGTCATTTCCTTCTTCGACTCTTCTCGAGAAGCTGATGGAACTCCTCAATCCGTCGTTTCCCTGCTGCATCTGCTTCTTCTTCTTGTTCTTCTCCTCCAG